GGTAAGCTTACTAAACTTAACCAAGACTTTTGATGGTGCATGCTACACTTCAAACATGATGATAAGGTGGAAGCAAGTGAACTTTTCAGACATTGCATAAAGTTGCATGCTCTAACTAGTAAATTATTGATGGAGAACAACACCTGAAACAAATACAAGGGAAGGAAACATTCATTAATAATAACAGTCACAAAAGCCCTAAATTAAATGGAAAGAGCAAACCATATTAGGAAGCATAACCTAAAGTAAGAAATACACCAAAGTGCCAGGAATGAAGATTAAGAACCTAATAATCTAAGATTAAGCAAGAGGAGCAATATGCTCCTCTTCAGCGCTAAATTAAGGTTCAAATTTTTTATGACAGACACGAAGCAAAAATAAGAAATACGTGGTAATAATATATGAACCGTCATTTTTTTAATTCCATCCTGACAGCACTTATCTTGCCCCATGTTACTAAAAACAATATTATTCAAGTCAGAACTACAATTAATAGGTTGATAAAGATATGATTTAGTTATTATAATAAAGATCATTTATTTTGAAATCAGGCTACTTGTGTAAATGCTTTGGCAATGTTGTTGGCATTGTCAATACTACTGTCAATGCAGGTTACAAACTGAAGAGCACTTATTCTAAAAGGGAAATGGATTTGTCATCTTTGACCAAGTTTATGCCATAATTTTCAGTCTGGTCCCAATAGACAGTTCCAAGTGGTGGGGACTTTCATGCCTGCATGCAAATAAAGTGAGCAAACTTAATTCACCTTGCCCATAATGAGTACATACTGGCTGCTGATATGTATAACATTTCTTGATGCATTCATCAATCATCATGCACCCAGTTAGTTCACCTTGATCCCATGTGGTGGTTTTTGCAGCCACCAGGTCAAGACCAAAGGTCTTGGGTTCATAAATTATGTATTGATTAATACATCAAAATATATAATCATGGCTTCTTCCACACTTGTTCCAGTAAGATCCAACCCATCACCAACTTTATGTGGTTGAAATGAGTTAACATTGCACTTGAATCCATTGAATTGCATTAGCATTTGAGATGGCCAGTAAAACGGCTCGCAGCCAGCGCCTCCAGGCTGACCTGGAGCGCAATCGAGTTGAAGCAAACTGGAAGAAAGTCATTGAGCTTGCTGAGAGTTACAAGGCTCTCATTCCTGCTGGCCAAGGTAAGTTTGCAGCATAAAATTTGGTAGCATTTGGTAATCTTCTCATTGGATTACTGCATGCTGTTTCCCAGGGTTGGCAATGATTAAATCAAAATGATTAAATCATGTGATTAAATCACTTGATTTTTTTATAAAAAAATCATGATTTTTTTTATTTTTTCGATTTTTTTGNATTGAAGCCAGTTAAATGGTCAATATTTAGCTCATTACCTTGCTCCATACAAACTTTACAAAGCTAATGAATAGACTTATCAATATTTGTTTACCCGAAAATCCCTAAGTGGTAAACACCACCTTGGCCTGTTGGCCATTATTGGAGGCAATAAGTGCCCTTTTTAGCCATCCATTATGATCCATATACTGTTATTGTTAGTAGGCTAATTGCAAGATAAAAAATAACACCTCAAAAAAGACAAAAAAGCTGAAAAAATCAAAAAAATCAAATAAATAAAAAAAATCATGAAAAAATCAAAAAAATCATTGATTTTTGATTTTTTTGATTTTTTTAAAAAAATCAAAAAAATCGCCAACCCTGCTGTTTCCACATTTAATTAAATATTTGCTGTTACTGTTATGCCATTATCAAACATATTGTATTGAACTGAAGATAAATGCCTTATTTCACGCAGAAAAAAGTGATATACTTATATGTCTTCACATTCATTCTTTTGGTTACTGATGGTTGCAAACCTAAAGTTGAATTAACATTTTTTGTTTTGATTCTGTAGTGCTGTAATCATTTCAATATATCTATATTCATTTCATTGTGTTGCTGAAATTGTTAATTACCATCTCAGGTATCCCTTCCTGTTAGCCATCATGATTGTTACAGTATTTTTCAATTTAAAAATATATTTTATTTGGCCTTCCTTGTAAAATTTAAAGCTGAAAGCTAAATCAGTGTAAAATTTAAATTACTCATTCCTTGTTACCAGATAACCATCTGGCTATGTTGCTCCTGGGGGAAGGCAAGCTGGAGCTGTACCTGGAAGAACATCCTCCCATTCCTGCTAATTTCCAGGCTGCAAAAGCAGGTCTCACTGAAGCAAGAAGTCTCCTACACCAGTGTGTTAGTGACCAAGACAAAAAGGTCAGTTGATATTTACTTATTTTACACTATTTATTTATTTCTTATTATTATCATTACTTATTTACTTATTATTATTTACTTACTATTTATTATTTACTTATTATTACACTATTGTATTATTCTTCTAATTAAACATCCACACTGATATTCTCATTTTGAATTTAACTCTTTAGTAAGGATACATTGCAAGGCAACACTCAAAGAACAGCTATTTGAAACTTGCTGGATGTTTCTGATTGCAGTGCATTTTTTGTACATCTTTGTTGTCATCCTGAAGATTTTTCTGCAGCATCCATCATTGGGCACCATGAGTCCAGTCAAGTTAGGAAATTAGATTAAATTGATCATAGAGGAACTGCTGTATCAAGGGGTTACTTAGCAGATTTAGCAAAGGGTTACCAAGATTTATTCTTTAACTAGTATTGTTTTGGGATTTTTCCTTGATATATGTCTATAACTACTTGTTATTTCCTATTGTAAATTGTATATAATTGGATTTCAGCTGGCAAAAAATTTCATTTGTATCAAAGAATGTGAAATTTTTAGTTCAGGTGATTTTTTTAAGCAAATTGACAAGTTTTAAAGCCAGCCAACATTGACTCAGCTATATATTTTATTTTATTGTGAAATTATTGGATTTTTGTTATTATGTTCAGTTGTTTACCATTCTAAAAGAGGATTGCAAGTACAGGAATTTAGTACAGGGCGATTCTCGGAAACTTCCTGTTGTATTTTGCGCCAAGCAGCCTAATGTTGTAGGAAAAGGCTGGGATTATTTCATTGAAAGGCAAGGTCGTGAAATTTTGTGTAGGTACTGCCTAGTCATCAGTTGCCACTATGCATTGGATAAGTAAACAGTGTGCATTTGCTGTCAGGGCATACTTTTCTAATGGCAGTTCCATTATCGCTACTCATCCAGCTTAAACTCGGTACCTTGTCCAATCTCCCAATTTGGCTCTGTATGATTTTTTATGGGGTTATCTCAAATAAATTGTTTACAATGATTGTCCCAAGTCCCTACCTCATATGAAGAACCACCTATCCATCGCCAACATAACCATCAATATGCTTCTGCAAGTTCAATAGAACAAAATTTGACTAACAAAATGCATAGAAAATGAGGCCGTCATTTGTCCAATGTCATCTTTCAAACTAATTGATACAAAAATTGAGGTAATATCTTTTTTATTATAATTTATATTGTAATGATATCTTTACTAGGTCTTTTTGTATTGAACTTTCTTAGCAGGAAAGTTTTTGCGAATCACCCTGCAAAAATAACCTTGATGACCGTATCACTGGACACATTCATATGATACTTTAAATATCACAGATGACAGTGTCACTGTAATCATTCACATGATACTTTAAATATCACAGATGACAGTGTCACTGTAATCATTCACATGATACTACTTTGAATATCACAGATGACCGTGTCACTGGACGCATTCACATGATACTTTAAATATTACAGATGACCGTGTCACTAGACGCACTATTCCTGCTGGCTAAGCTCGAGTATGCCACCGGTGACTACAACGCAGCACTCAACCGCCTTGCCAACGCTGGACTGGATAAGCTGCAAGAGAAACAACTCACAACGCGCTCACTCAAAATTGTTGCAGAGTCCTTTGCTATACAAGGTTTGTATTGTTTAGTAACTTTGGAATACCTCATAAACTTTTTATGCTGTATAGAAATAACAAATTCAGTTCATAATTTCATTTTAAAATTTATATTCAAAATTAAGAAAAATGATGTTTCTGTTTCTACATTGCCCTGAATAAATAGTTTAGACTAACTCCTCCATGAGTTCAAACCTATTTTGTCATTCAGTTTTGATGCTTATAATAAATTATTTATAATGTGCTCTTAAGACTTGTGTTGCAATAATGAAACTTCAGATCAATTACATGGAGAAATGTTGAACAAGTAATACATAATATGATGATGTCTGCTATGGTTCTTGTTTATCTTTAACTGCTGCTGCTACCAACATTTACTTATTCATAGATCCTTGCTGCAGAACTTTAGAGGAAATCACTGAAAACATTCTCAGTCTCAGGGTTTAGGTTTGAGGATCTTGCATTAAAAGTAACATCTATTTCTTGTGTTAGAATTGCTTGTGTCTCAGTCTAAATTGTGCTTCATGCTATTTTGTGTCTCTGTTTCGTTTGTTTCTCAATCTTGTATGTGTCTCAGGCTCACTTGTGTCTCAGGTTAGTTTGTGCTTCATGTTATTTTGTATCTCTGTTTCATTTATGTCTCAGGTTTGTGTTTGGAGCAAGCAACTGTGAATCGCGCGAGCCGCTACAAGAAGGCTGACAATAAGTCTCGCATGCTGCAGTGCTTTGAGCTGGCGTCAGACCTGACGCTGCTGTTCCTTCAGGAGCAGGATAAGATATCCTCCACTCCCTCCACCGCCTCCCTTCCCTCCCTCAGCGCCTCCACCAGCACAGGTGAATCCTGTTTTGCTGTAAATACGTACATCTTGACTTCAGTGCCTAGTTTACATTTTATTAATTTTTCATGTTTATTATGTTTTTAGCATTCAATACTTACAATTGATTGGCATTGTGTCTTCAACGCCAAGATTATTGTAGCAAAATTGATACCACATTTTTTTATTAACCAGAAATCGTTTCTAAATTCATTTTTCATCAAAATGAGCCCGTTTCTCTGCCTGTAAACCCCAGCAAGTAACAAAGCATCATTTAAGTGGTGATCAGCATGGGTTAACCACTCACTCATTATGCCTCCTTAACATGCACTATGACCCATTATTACCCGTTGTACCCACTGTGGCTCATGACAACCTATTCAACCCATGACAAGCCATTAAACCCATGACCACCCATTAAACCCATGACAAGCCATTAAACCCATGACCACCCATTAAACCCATGATAAGCCATTAAACCCATGACCACTCATTGAACCCATGACAAGCCATTAAACCCATGACAAACCATTAAACCCATGACCACCCATTAAACCCATGACTACCCGTTAAACCCATGACCACCCATTAAACCCATGACTACCCGTTAAACCCATGACCACCCATTAAACCCATGACAAGCCATTAAACCCATGACAAGCCATTGAACCCATGACCACCCATTAAACCCATGACCACCCATTAAACCCATGAGCACCCATTAAACCCATGACCACCCATTAAACCCATGACCACCCATTAAACCCATGAGCACCCATTAAACCCATGGCCACCCATTAAACCCATTAAACCCATAATAACCCATTAAACCCATAATAACCCATTAAACCCATAATAACCCATTAAACCCATGAGCACCCATTAGACCCATGACAAGCCATTAAACCCAATATTGCAGGGGGATCAAACTCGCCGCTGCCGCCCGTGGGCGACCCCCCCGAGCAGCGCAGCAAGATGGGCATCATCCTGGAGACGGCGCTGACGCGGGCCACGTGTCTCCATCTCAGGGCCGGCAACGTGCAGCACGCCATCGACAGGCACAGGTACGTCACGTGCCTCTTGCATATATCTTACTTATACCTCTTACTTAATTCTTATTTACCTCCTCTTTGCCTCTGTTTCTTATCCACTTCTTACCTCCTTCCTTCTACTTACCTCTTACCTCTTACTGCCCTCTTACCTCTCACTCCTACCTTTTTCTTCCCTCTTACCGCTTACTCCTGCCTCTTACTTACCACTTACTCACATCTTAATTACCATCTTCTCGTACCGTCCATTACTTTCATCCAAGTAGTTCATGTATCACTCATACAGCACGCTTCTCGTAAGTTCTGAAGTCACTCGTGTCTTCATGTCATGAGACTGATGTCTTCTATTGATTATAACTTTACTGTAATTAACCCATCATGGCTTGGCATTTAGCCGTCATGGCTTCTCATTAAGTCATCATGACTTATAATTATGCCATGATGACTTATCATTAAGCCATGATGGCTTCTCATTAAGTCATCATGGCTTATAATTAAGCCATGATGACTTATCATTAAGCCATGACGGCTTCTCATTAAGTCATCATGGCTCATCATTAAGCCATGATGGTTCATCATTAAGCCATGATGGTTCATTATTAAGCCATCATGGCTTATCATTAACCCATGATGGCTTATTATTTTAGCCGTCATATCATCATTAATCATAGCCACCATCAGATATCACTAACCTATCATAATATACCAGGGCTGACAACAGAGATATATTCGTTGTGATGGCTGACAGTGTTGTGTGTTGCAGGTCTCTGCTGTCAGCGACGGAGTGCAGCAGCACGCAGCAGCTGCGGCTGACAGTCTGCACGCAGCTGGCAGAGCTGCTCATGCGCTCTGTCAGCTGCGCTACCTACGTCCCGCCTGTCTACGCTGGTCAGTGTGTGCGTCTGTCAGCTGTGTGTGTGCGTCTGTCAGCTGCGTGTGTGTGCCTGTCAGCTGTGTGTGCGCCTGTCAGCCGTGTGTGTGCGCCTGTCAGCTGTGTGTGCGCCTGTCAGCTGTGTGTGCGTCTGTCAGCTGTGTGTGCGTTTGTCAGCTGTGTACGTGCCTGTCAGCTGTGTGTGCGCCTGTCAGCTGTGTACGTGCCTGTCAGCTGTGTGTGTGCGCCTGTCAGCTGTGTACGTGCCTGTCAGCTGTGTGTGTGCGCCTGTCAGCTGTACGCGTCTGTCAGCTGTGTGATTTAATGCTATTTCAACTTTTAAAACTGTATAAACGTAGATATTTTTAAACGTCTGAAGGATAATTTGAGAAATTCTTTGAACTTACAAATTTCATTGGTGGAGGTGATAAAAATTAGATTAGTAAAAGAAATGAGATGGAATAATATTGTAGACGGAAGAGTAAAGTAATGAAAAGATAATGAATGCAAATGAGTAACAATGGACCAACAAATATGTTTCTATGAGGTCTTATCTTATGTGATTATAAGATAACAATAGAATAATTATAGATAAAATCAATGTAAATGAGTTGTAATTAGTGACATGTGTGGCGCCTTAAACTCGTGTACTGCATAAAACTTCTGTGTAATGTGCGCTTGCCATGAATTAATACTAATGAAGATCTAATTACTATAAATGACTTTTTAAAATGAGTTAATATTAATGAAGATCATAATTACTATAAATGAGTTGTGAAAAGGAGTTGATAATAATGAAGATCTTATTATTATAAATGAATTTTAATAATGTGTGCAATGAGTTAATAATAATGAAGATCTTATTACTATAAATGAATTTTAATAATGTGTGCAATAATTTAATAATAATGAAGATCTTATTACTATAAATGACTTCTATTAATGCTTACAGAGGGGAAGGACAAGCCCCAGAAGGGGGGCGACGGGGGGGCGTGGAAGCCTCGTCGCTACGCCGGCCTCAACATCTTCGTCCCCTCCACCAGGAGTGAGGAGGTCATCCTGCTACTGCTCATCAGGTATAATGCTATTACTTGTATAATTGATAATATTCATAATCACATGAAATATTTAAATTCACTTACAATAATATCCACCTATAAATATTGCTTTTGAACATTCTCACTATTACTCCCTGATATCACTCCCATTACTCGTATATGACTCCCTGATATCACTCCTATTACTCATATATCACTCACTGATATCACTCCTATTACTCGTATATCACTCACTGATATCACTCCTATTACTCGTGTATCACTCACTGATATCAGTATCATCCGTACAACACATGTGCCAACGGTCAGTTAACATCATTATCACTAATATCACTCGAGCATAAAAGTATTGTAGCATCATCATAACTCCAGCATCACTCACTGTCGTCATTATTGACACTAGGACTGCCAATGCCTGGTGTGTGATGGTAGCTCTCGTCTGAAGAATTATTTTTGAATTGTATTCATTCTCGACTTAGAACAAACAGTTGCTATCAATACTATTTTTATATCAGTAATGCTGCAACGATCAGTTGCTAATATTATAATTTATATCAATAATATTATTTATTAATAATGGTGCACAGCGAGGCGATGGCTGTGCGGGACGCGGTGCTGTCGCAGATGCCGGAGTTCAGCGAGACCCGCGAGCGCGCCAACAGCGCAGCCACCGCCGTCCAGGACATGCTGGCCCTGGCCCTGGCCCCCACCCGCCAGTACCAGATACTTATTGAGGTACATGCTGGCCCTGGCCCCCACCAAGTACCAGATACTTATTGAGGTACTTGCTGGCCCTGGCCCTGGCCCCCACCCGCCAGTACCAGATACTTATTGAGGTACTTGCTGGCCCTGGCCCCCACCCGCCAGTACCAGATACTTATTGAGGTACATGCTGGCCCTGGCCCCTACCCGCCAGTACCAGATACTTATTGAGGTCCTCTACTCCAGCTCCTATTCTTCCTATCACGTGGCGTCTGCAAGTGGTGAGGTCAACTTATTGGATAAATGCCTTTATTTGCTACATATAACGATATTTTGTGCGATATCCTTCACTACACTGCCCCTGCATCATCAAACTCACCACACTCTTCTCTCACCACACCCGCCCCCACACCTCCCAATACCTGCCCCCGTTACCCTCCTTCGTTACCCTACCCACCACACCCCTACACGTGCCTCTCACATGCCTCTCACGTGCGCAGGTGTACAAGCCCCCGTTACCCTCCCCCAACACCCCTACGCGTGCCTCTCACGTGCCTCACGTGCGCAGGTGTATGAGCGGTCCATGAAGTTCTCGTGGGGCTGTGGCCACGTGTGGCGGCAGTTTGGCCTCGCGCTGTGCAGCGGACGCCAGCCTCTGCGAGGCCTTCAGGTGCTGGAGGAGGCGCACCGTCTCCAGCCTCACAGCCCCGTCACCTGCCTCGTCGCTGCCAAGGTCTCCTTCCAGAGCCTCAATAAGGTAAAGACTTCCAGAGCCTCAATAAGGTAAAGACTTCCAGAGCCTCAATAAGGTAAAAGGCCTTCAATATCAGAGTATTTATAACTTAATTGCAAACTTATCAATCATTGTGCCTATAGACATTGACCACCAAAGTTTCAAGTCATTCCTGCCTTGATAACAAAAGCCTTCCCTAACATCGCCTGCATCAGAGCATTAATCATAGTACTGTGAATAAATTGTTATATAATTTATTTATTATTATTTATTTATATTATATAATTTATACTATATAATTATTATTCCTCAAGATATTCACAGCAAATTACCCTCATTACCTGCCCCCAATGTATAATATATAATTAATATTCCTCAAAACAAAAGCAAATTACCCTCATTACCCTCCTCCAGATCGACGAGGGTCTGGCGTGGGTGCGTAAGGCGGAGTATAATATATTTATATATATTATATAATGTATGATTTATAATTATTATTCCTCAAAACAAAGCAAATTACCCTCATTACCTGCCCCCAGATCGACGAGGGTCTGGCGTGGGTGCGTAAGGCGGAGTATGCGCTGGAACACCCACCACCCGCCACCCCCACCGCCGCCGTCAGGAACAACAACGACGCCTGTCCTGCCCTCCTTAACTCCCAGCTACTGCTGGCACGCTGCTGTCTCTACCACGGTCACTAGTGTCACTAGTCTATTGTTATTATATAATATTAGTAATATATTATTATATAATATATCAATATTATTAGTTAATAAGGACTTCTGCTCACAGCTGCTGTCTCTACCATGGTCACTAGTGTCACTAGTGTATTGTTATTATGTGATATTATTGATATAATATTATATAATATATCAATATTATTAGTTAATAAGGACTTCAGCTCACAGCTGCTGCCTCTACCACGGTCACTAGTGTCACTAGTGTATAGTTATTATATAATATTATTAAGTGTTCAGCTCACAGCTGCTGCCTCTACCACGGTCACTAGTGTCACTAGTGTATTGTTATTATATAATGTTATTAAGTCCTGTACAGCTCACAGCTGCTGCCTCTACCACGGTCACTAGTGTCACTAGTGTATATTAAATATCTGACAATATAATGCCTCAAGCTGTAGGATATTGTGTGATATTCATGCTAGTGTATAGTTAATACATAGGCGGTTATCAAGATAAATTAGGTTAATTTATTATTTACCGATGACTAATGAAATACTAGTGATAATAAGGATTTGTTCAGGCAAGTATCTGAAAAAATAGATCCACTAATGAGTTAGTAAGGACTTAGAAATAAGTAATAATAATTATTTGCAGGTTTGATGATTTTCTTAATTATTTGGATTTCTTGGATTTTTTCAGCCTTTTGTTTTTTTTTCAATAATAAATGTGCATAATAATAATTAATATGTATGCGCAGGTATTGGTCTCATCCTGAAGCTGCAGCAGACGACGGTCTACTCGAAGGCGCTCACTTACCGTAGGGAGGCAATGCAGCTCCTGCTCAGGTCAGCTCACTGCTCTACACCTGCTGATATTCAGCTCACTGCTCAACACCTGCTGATATTCAGCTCACTGCTTAACACCTGCTGATATTCAGCTCACTGCTCAACATCTGCTGATATTCAGCTCACTGCTCAACATCTGCTAATATTCAGCTCACTGCTCAACATCTGCTAATATTCAGCTCACTGCTCAACACCTGCTAATATTCAGCTCACTGCTCAACATCTGCTAATATTCAGCTCACTGCTTAACATCTGGTGATATTCAGCTCACTGCTCAACACCTGCTAATATTCAGCTCACTGCTCAACACCTGCTAATATTCAGCTCACTGCTCAACACCTGCTAATATTCAGCTCACTGCTCAACACTAGGTAACATTCAGCTTTTTTGTTTCTTTTCAGCTTCGTTCAGTTTAAACTCACCTGAAAATGAAATGCATTTCACTGTGTAGCATAGAACTGTATCTAATATCCAGCTCGCTGTTTTGCATCATCAAAATCAACATTCAGATCGCCTCATAGCATATACTGAATCTAATATTCAGATTACTCTTTAGCATAGAACTGAATCTAATGTCTGATATCCTGCTCACTGTTTCGCAGCATTGAAATCAATATTCAGCTCGCCTCTTAGCATGTTACTGAATCTATATCCAGCTCGCAGTTTTTCATCATTGAAATCAATATTCAGCTTACCTCGTAGCATACCAGTATTACTAGATCTGATATTCAGCTTTCTGTTTTTCATCATTGAAATCAATATTCAGCTTACCTCGTAGCATACCAGTATTACTAGATCTGATATTCAGCTTTCTGTTTTTCATCATTAAAATCAATATTCAGGTTACCTCTTAGCACATATATTGAATCTAATATTCAGCTCATTCTTTTTCACCATTGAAATCAACATTCAGCTGGTAACTTTCAACCTGTGTGCAGGGCGAGCGAGCTGGACCCAGGCGACCACCTGAGTCACTTCTACCTGGCCGAGAGCTACGCCAGCTGCCGTCAGCTGCAGCAGGCGACGCTGCACGTCAGGACGGCGCTCAGCCTGCGTCCTGACCACCTGCCTTCTCTCCTGCTGCTGCTGCTCCTGCTGCAGGCGCTCAGGGAGACAGACGAGGCGCTCAGGGTGAGTGTAGGTGCTCAGGGTGAGTGTCGGTGCTCAGGGTGAGTGTAGGCGCTCAGGGTGAGTGTAGGTGATGAGGGTGAGTATAGGCGCTCAGGGTGAGTGTAGGCGCTCAGGGTGAGTGTAGGCGCTCAGGGTGAGTGTAGGCGCTCAGGGTGAGTGTAGGTGATGAGGGTGAGTGTAGGCGCTCAGGGTGAGTGTAGGCGCTCAGGGTGAGTGTAGGTGATGAGGGTGAGTGTAGGCGCTCAGGGTGAGTGTAGATGATGAGGGTGAGTGTAGGCGCTCAGGGTGAGTGTAGGTGATGAGGGTGAGTGTAGGCGATGAGGGTGATTGTAGGAGCTCAGGGTGAGTGTAGGTGCTCAGGGTGAGTGTAGGCACTCAGGGTGAGTGTAGGCGCTCAGGGTGAGGCTGCAGAAGCACTGGGTGACTTGCTCCCTGTTAAGGCTCCCTCTTCCCCCAGTTGGTGGCGGGGGTGCAGCTGGAGTTCCCCCACAGTCTGCAGGTGGTGTCTGTGGCTGTGGCTCTGCAGGAGGCCCTGCAGGGGCCTCAGGTGGCGCTACTCACCGCCACACACATGATGGCGCTGTGGCATGTGCTCTACCGCAACCAGGTGACTCTACCTTACACTACCATATGCTTTATCTCACATATGCGACAATAGTGCACCGTGTGCTTATAGTGCCGTGCTAAGTATACCGTTTGTTGCAGTTGTGTGGGGACTCTGATGCTGCGGAGGTGGCCAGCGGCCACACGACGCACCCTGACCCTGGCAGCGTCTACAACGCCTCTGAGGACAACGACAACGGTGCGTAGCCTGTAGCCTATAATGCAGCATATCATGTAGCGTATTCTGTTGAGTGTCCTGCAGCATATTCTGCAGCGGGGTGGGGGGGTGTAGCTTGTCTCAGAATACTTGGATCAGGGTTTCTTGACCGTTCCTAGGGGATCTGTGACGGTTCTCAGGAGTTCACGGCAGTTCTTAGAACTCTTTGGCAGTTTTCGGTGATTCACGGCAGTTCTGGAGGCACCTTGGCAGTACTTAGAACTCTTTAGCCGTTCTTAGAACTCTTTGGCAGTTCTCGGTGGTTTCTGGCATTCCAGAACTCCGACAATACCTCATGTGTTCATTAAAGTGTGAAGCCCCAACTTTGCGCTTTGAGCAACATATTTGCATTACGTAATCCTAAGCATATTATTTAATATTGTTAGTCAGTCCTAATGTTGTTGTAGTCAAGTATATCTCCTAGTAACAGTGCAGTGGTGGTGCTATAGACCCCCAGTAACATGCAGTGGTGCTGTAGACCCCCAGTAACAGTACAGTGGTGCTGTAGACCCCCCAGTAACAGTGCAGTGGTCGTGCTGTGGACAGTAGACCCCCAGTAACAATGCAGTGGTCGTGCAGTGTCGGTATGCGGTGGGGGGACGGAGTCAGTGTCGCGCGTCGAGTTCGCGCTCAGCGAAGTCGCGTCGAGCGTCTCAGGCGCACACTCGCCCAAACCTGCGCCTGCGCACGCCTGGGCGCTGCACATCCACTGCTGGCTGACCATCGC